GCCTGTTTGAAATATTCTCTGGCTTAATGCATAAATGCAATAAAAGATCGCCCATCCATAGTCAAGCAAACTTGATTACAGTTGAGGTTTATCCATGATCGGAAACGAATATTGACGGGTAAACTGATGGTGATCCACCGCTAGAAGTAATTTTGAATAGTGATGAACCTCATCACGCACAGTCTCACAGTCCGCACTGTTACAACAAACCAAGCGGAAAGGAAAAGTCGTACTCTATCTATGACGCAGGCATCTGTTCACACAGACTATTGAGACACACGCGTACGGGTTGTTTTAGTGCGCACGAATGGGTATATCTGATATCTCCGGACCTCCTGTTTCCATTCTCCTCGGCAGGAGCAGCCATCCCCGCCCCTTCACCACACTACAGACACAGACGGCCGGTCTACTTCGTGACCTGCACCTACAACCATTTTGAATTTAAAAGACGTGATTTAAATGGTACGTTGTTGTATTGGAAAGAACTTGATATCATGATGCTTTAAGAGTTTTATTTAATCGAAAGACGCCATAGCAGCCAGTCCGAAATTCATGCGGGTTCATGCGTATTTCTACACATAAGTTATTGAAAAAATTCAATATCATGTTATATGTTGTCTAGGAAAGGTTTTTAGACAAAAAATGACTTTTAAAATTGTCTGCACGATATTCTGTATCTTTTTTACACACCAACGCGAAGCTATTCATACCTATCCATCAGAGGATGATATATAAACACAAAGACAAAACGTTCATTGTTAAAGGGGGCCTTGAGCACTTTTATATCGACAAACTGGATTTTGAATACTGAGAAACAGTTGCAGGTGATTTTGTTGGTGAGTTCGGCTGGCAGGCTGGCCTCCGACAGTGTAGGTAAGTGGGGTCCCAGGCGCACAGGTTTTATTTCTCTCTATGGTGAATCAACATCCACCTTTGCCTAAAACTCATTTTCTTTTGCAGCACTTACCACGAAGCCAAATCATAAATTTATTACCCATTAATAAGGTGAAGGTAAGGTCCTGATTTATCCTCTCCGTGGATTATTCCCGATGAAAGTCCCTCCGGAGGTAATTAGGGAAAAACAAACGTCAGACTTCAATATTTCCATGCTCGCTCGTTAAATGATAAGATGCAATCTGTTCATAATTTCATCAGGTTGGTGGATGATTGAATATCACAGTTGCTAACTAATGAATGAAAGACATTTATTTTACGTTTATACTCTTACAAGCTAAGTACAGGTTATGAATAAAGCAAAAGTAAAAAAAATTATAGTGATACCTTACTAAAATCATACATACTAATGCGAACTACTATATGTACAGGTTCAACTTCTCGCTTCTTGAGGCAGTTGTAGATGTATGAACATATGGAGCCAATGATACACGATTTGTCAAGTTTCATAAGGAATGCGTATTTTTCTGTTCAATCTAAATGTCTAAAACTGGGAAATTTATCTTGTATACAAGTATAGAAGATATATCTTTTTACAAGACCCAACATGACTTGTAAATAAGTAGTTGTTAATTAAGAATTTTGAAATTCAATTACGTGCAAACTTCTGATATGCCATCTGTCTAACTTAGGTTACAACAGTATGATTTTTAATCGTTGCCCTCGGCCTGGGCCTATATAAGAAACTGGATGGAGATCACACTGGGGTTTGCGTGACCATTTCAAACTTGGAATATGATGCAAGATATAAAAGCGTTACTGAAAAGACTACAAAACACATACAACGTGAAAATGTGATATCCTCCCTTCGTGTAGATACAATTATCTATGAAGTTCGTTGAGCCGCCCACGATCAGCGGTCATAGTCTGCAGTGGGAAGGCCTCCTAAAGAGAGATAGCAGACAGGACTCGAGGAGACAGCGGGTTTGTATTATAGGTAACCTTAAGCGGTATTTGAACGTTTTATGGTTTATTGAACTTCTCAGACTGAAGTATCCCCTGCCGCGTGACAAGTGCAGTAAGTGGGGCCATTGCGACTCTTCTGTCTCTAAGCTGAACCCTCAGCTAAAAGTCACGTAAAAAGTCACGTAAAAAACGTGACGACGACAATATATGCAATTCTTCGGAACCCTACCATAGATAATCAAATATATAGCAAAAACTCAATTATATCCAAAGTTCCTCCAGAATAATGACTACACCCACATATATCTAGGAACAGTGCCCCATGCTGATCCCTGTGACGTTAGACTGCCTTGTGTGAATAGTCGAAATTGTTCAGACTAATGTTGCAGGATGACCACCCTCTACAAGACCTTGCCCCTCTCCAGATATGCATCTACAGGGCGAAACACACCATATCCATCCCCTCCAAAACATAACGTCCCCAGAACTCTTTCTCCATCAGTCAATTAATCCATAAAATTAGACAAAAGAATGCGGTATGCAAAGATGGGACCTGCCATGTCAGTGGTGCATTGTATGTGTTCACATGTATTTATGTTTTGTTCTAATGTTGGAGTTACGATTTGTGTGTTTCTGCAATCTTGATACATGAATAAAGAATTGAATTGAGAATAGAACTGCACAAATGATCTCCGGATATCAAGGTGATCGTTGAATCTGAGATGTATCAGAAACACGCAGGTTGTTTGTGTTATTCTGTTAGAGAAGGTCGAAGAGGTTTACTGGGGCATCGGGTGTCCGACCATATCTTGGGTCGCCTGGTCTGAATGGATCCATGTTGTAAGGGGATCTTCCAACTGTCCTTTTCACTATTGTGCATCTTCAAGGCTATCGGATGTTTACACGAATGCAGACGATAAGAAGATGTCCTTGAATTCCCCAACGGGACAGATTCATTTTCCTAGAGCACAATTTACCTCGGATCTATGTATTGACTTTATAAAGTATCCGGAAGACGCCACCAGTTTATATTGAATCGTTAGGAGACGGCACTCTCGCTAATGCGCCGGCCTTGGCTCATGAAAATTAAAATGCAGCCATTAGAATAAAAGCCCCGAGGTTTAGATTACATTGGAAACGACCCACTCTGACCCGGGACCATCTAGCTGAAATACATATGGAAGTATCAAAAGCACTCAGAGAGTGCAACCTCCGCCAACGTGCAACAAGTGTGTAAAGAGGGGTCAACATCATATCATATTCAACAGCCATCCACATCTGTACAGAAGTTTTAGAAGAAGGGACCTTTAGGTCTCAGAATCTTTGATAGTTTCTCTCCGAGTTACGGGTATTTTCTTTTGATTGCTGTCATAAAAATTCGTTCGCTTGTTAGCTTTACAATCTCTGCATATTTTATTTAGCATGAGGAATCATTGACCTAGCCTCGTGTACATGATTCATAACTGACATATTCCGGTTACGTTTTGTACAAAGTCGTTAGATTCTTCAGTGATTTGCTATCAGCAACTGAGGATAGTATAGAGACGAATGAATTGACCTGAGGGAAACGTCAAAGGCGTCCAATGTAATTTCAGGGCAGTAAAACTGGAAATATTCTGAATAAGGCAATCTTAATGATATTGATCACATTTGAGTCATCATTTCATATTTTGGGCTTTTAAAACTGTAGAAACAAGCCCCAAGATGAGTCCTTTATTTTCTGGGTGGTACCCTAAAAATCAGCCAAGGGCCCTTCCAGTAACCATTTTCCGTCAGAATTTTGGGAATCTTTGCTCTATGAGGGTCAGTATACATTGGGATAGTGTGGTTTCAACTCAGTATGTAGATAAGAATATTGGCTTTCAAAAATCGGGTTTCCCAGCCCTAAAAGTTACAATGGATGCCTTTAAGAACAGAAAACCGAGAAGGGCGGAGAAAACTGGTCTCATATTAAGGCAAAGGGATGGATGAGACATTATAGATATATTAATTTTATTAGGCGGATCACTTTTTTGGTCAATTAGGATGAGTATTTGGCTGGAGGGCGCGGTGTTTTCAAACAAACAGGTTGGTTGTGCTCACGTGGCTAGAGGAGCCGGTGATGACCTCATGCGGCATCATGTTACTTATCTCCCAAGAGATGTGTGTTCCGGCGCGTTTTCCCGTGCTGTACGTATGTCCCGAGTTGTGCGTGCTTTGGGTGTTGCTGTTGTAATGTCCGCGGGAACGCACATGTACAAGCCAAGGACGTTCAAAGTTGAAGAAAAATGAGAAACAAACTTAAAGTTTATCAAAACAAGATTGGGAATAATGAAGCAGATTGAACTGTAATTTCCAACACAAGGGATTGGACTTACCCAAATTTTCGATTGTACAACTCCATTCTTGTCATGATCAAGAAATTTGGAATTAATAGACTGGTTTATATGTAAAGCTCTTTGCATTTGGTGCCATGCTGCTGGATTGTGAGCTTCGTTACAGTTGGTCTAGCTCCTAAGTAAGACTTTGACATCACTATTCAATTCATAAAATACTTAGTACAAACTTAGTAGCTAGACTTGGCTCAATATCTCTACTATTGATATCTTGAGCTGTAATGGAGAGGCATCACGTGTCAGATGATCCCATTGAGTCCGGCTTAAGAGTGGAGGCGACTGGTGGGAACTTGAGAACGACTTTCCCTTCCTCTTGTTCCTGTTGTACCGATGCAGATTTGGCATTAGGATGAAGTAGGGCCCGTGGGTATCCTAAGGGGCGCCCATCGAGCGCTGAGGAATGTGTGTAAAGTAAGGACGGGACGTTTCTCAATGTCAACAGCACACCTCGTAACTCAGCAGGTGAAAGGGACATTCTCGTCACGTAATGTATGTGTGTTGATAATCACTACTGCGTAAAACTCAGTAAAAGTGCCAAACAAATTGGTGAAACTAAAGTCAGTCTTGGTGTTGACAATGACGTGCATAGTCAGGAATCCCCCGTGTCCTTTTACCTGTAAATACAGAACAGATAAGAAAGCCAAACATCGCGGAGTACACATGATACGACCGCTGATAAACTAAAAAGCCCCAACTCCTCTCATAGATCGCGTTTCAAAATTCATCCGATTAAATATAAACCACGTCAAACATGTCCTTCAAGGGAAGCTGAAAAGGATTTTTCCCACAGCCGTCCCAGAAGCACGGTGTACATGACTAGATGGTGACGTGAGACCTACACTGCACGTTCTCGCTCCTACCCTGACACACAAAGAGCCGGAACTGCATGTGGCTGGCTGTGGAGAGCGGAGTGTTGGATAAATCAATGCTGTGCTCCAAGTCAAGTAGCCATTATAGTCTCCGGAATCAATCATTTCGCTCCCGCTGACGCTTGCCACGGCAGGGCCGTCGCTCCGTGCTGTACTCTGTTTTCATTCGTGTAAAGAGAGTTTCGTCTCAGCTCCATTTATCTGTAACAGTGCGAAGAATTAACGGCCACTACACCTATTCTGAGGCCGACGTAAGTAGGAGAGTCGTGTTTTCTGTGTTCAGCTTTCAATGGCGGCCAAGCGTGGTGTCTGTGTAACGCTGGCTTGCCTCGCACACACGGCCATGAATCCAGGTTATGGAAAGCTTTGTTTAAGATCACAACCTTTACTGCAGAGCTTGTTTTTGTGTCTCCCAGGTTACGAAAGGTAGGCATGTTTAGAATGGCTTTGCATGAAGTAGTGTGGTTATAACTGTAGCTGTGGATCAGGAAGTCCCTTTTAGCTCAGATATTACACCTGCCTACTAAAGAGCTGCCCGGGGGGTAACGTGTAACAAAGTGAAATCCTACTCCTGGCTGATAAGTGCTCTCCAGTCCTTACCCCTCGCATTTTGCCTCTTGTAGGTCAGCACAAGTGGACCGCGGGAACAACATGTCGGCGAACACAACGGTCTCCCCCACCCAGACGACCGATAACTTCACCGCCAACTTCACCGTCAACTCCACCCAGTCGCCCGTCGGGTCCTGTTTCGCCGCCGACCCGTACAGTGTCGGGGTGCAGGCCGTGCTGGGCCTGATCACGGTGATTCTCATCCTCCTGACTGTGATAGGTAACGTGTTAGTGATCCTCGCCGTCACTTGCCACCGTAAACTGCGTACCGTCACCAACTTCCTCATAGTCTCGCTAGCCTGTGCAGACCTCAGCGTCGGGATCACCGTCTTGCCCTTCGCTGCCACAAACGACATCCTCGGCTACTGGCCTTTCGGCGGCTACTGTGACGTCTGGGTGTCGTTCGACGTCCTGAACTCCACGGCGAGTATCCTGAATCTGGTCGTGATCGCCTTCGACCGCTTCCTCGCCATTACAGCCCCGTTTACCTACCACACTCGCATGACGGAACGGACTGCAGGCATACTGATAGCGACGGTGTGGGGGATCTCCCTGGTCATGTCCTTCCTGCCCATCCAGGCGGGCTGGTACAGAGACAACGACTCCGAGGAGGCCCTGGCGATCTACGCCGACCCGTGCTTATGTATCTTCACTGCCAGCACTGCCTACACCATAGTGTCGTCTCTCATATCGTTCTACATACCTCTGCTCATCATGCTGGTGTTCTACGGCAACATCTTCAAGGCAGCCCGGGACCAGGCCCGTAAGATAGACGCGCTAGAAGGGCGGATAGAGCAGGAAAACAACCGCCGTGGCAAGAAAATATCGCTAGCAAAGGAGAAAAAGGCGGCAAAGACATTAGGCATCATCATGGGCGTGTTTATCCTGTGCTGGTTGCCGTTTTTCGTGGTGAACATTGTGAACCCGTTCTGTGACAGGTGTGTGCAGCCTGCCGTGTTCATCGCGCTGACCTGGCTCGGCTGGATCAACTCCTGCTTCAACCCGATCATCTACGCCTTCAACAAGGAGTTCAGGAAGGTGTTTGTGAAGATGATCTGTTGTTACACGTGTAGAGGTGTGACGGTGGGGCCGAACCACGCGGACTTGAACTACGATCCCGTAGCCATGCGGCTGAAGAAGAAGGGAGAGAATCCCAACGGGAACGTCAACGGCGACGCCAATGGCAAAGCCAACGGCACCGCGGACATAGAGGCCGGGGAAGGAACGTCAAGTTCCTAAGGTAACGCGTTTAGCTTAGACGGGAGGGAGCTGGACTCTCACCGAGACTTTAACTAGCGTTACTAAGAGTTGGGGGGACATGTTTAATCCCAATGCCAAGGTCATTGTTTTAAAACGGTTGCATATATCATCATTAGACGATATCGTCAGAGAATACATTCTATACCGAACAGTATAACACCGACTAGCTCGGCTTGTACCCCCGGACCGGTCCCAGTGACAAACGCAGCTGATACATGTATGGACACAAACACAGCTGGGAACGATATCTAAAAGACCTCAAAGCTGTATTGAACATTTGTGAAGACAAACGAGTATCGAGATTGATCATGTAGAAAGATCACACTGATAGACTTCATCACATCAAGTCTACGAAGAATCTATTCTGCACACGCTCAAAGTCAAGAGGACGAATTCAGCGATCAAATGACTCGGAAAATATGACTGTACAGTTCTGAATCTACGTTGGCATGGCGTGCATCGAAATAAACAGCTCTAGTCTTTCGCCCGTGTACCAAGAACACTAGATCCGTTCCGCCGTACCGACCATGACATCCGTACAAGTCATGACATCATTCAGGGAACCACCAGGGAGGAATTGTTCAGTGTTTTCAAGTATGGACAGTCACCATGGTGACGGCAATACCGTGTAAATAATCTACAAGGTAGGACTCAAAGCGACGTATTTACAGTGATTGTAACGTCATGAAGTGTGTATGTGCTTACAAGCACTTCCAAGAATCGATTAAAAAGATTTAACATTGTTTATTTTTACCTCTTATTTATCAAACTTTAATGTGTAAAACTGTTTTGAAGACTCAAATGTATGTATCATATAATCAATGTGTAACTTTCACCATTCTAGAGGGTGCTTATTTACATAGGGATTGGAGAGGGTCAGTCACAAGAAAGCTTATGTGAACAGAATTGTGGTTTTCATGATCATGTACAAATCTGCTACAAGTCTGTAAGGAGGATTGAACCAATTTGTGCATGTATGTAGATATCACACACCAAGCAGATAATATGATAACTGTGGTGGCTGGAGTTTGGTTTGTCCATGACAAGAGAACATGGCAATAATGATATATTTTCGTCTCTATGTGGCAACAGGGCAATGATGTATTTTCTGTTTAATGTATTATGTATTTTCTTCCCAGAGTTAAATTTTTCTAACCTCTACCTGACTCCAGTAGGTTGGTGGAAAGTGAAATCGGCCCATGATAACACTGAATAATATACCAGTGGAGATAGCCGTGCACTTTGTCTCCCAACTAAGTCCTCTAGCATATCATTCAGTCTATTTGACCAATCCTGTGCAATTTTCCATCAATCCATTGGAGTCTGGTAGAGACAACAAATTTCCAGTTAGCTACAGATAGTCGTCAAATACAGTACTGACTATAACATTTGTCAGGGTGTGCGTGCAAGGTGGAACCTTACATACATGTTACTTATTCAGGCTATGTCGTCCGTGGAAATCTTAAACAAAGATATTCACAAAAACGTCAAACACGAGATTCCATGTCGTTTCTTAACTTAGAAGCTTTTAGCACAAACTGAACTACAGAAAGTGTTGTAAGTTATCGGTAGGGCCCATACTCTGTTGTAGTTACCACCTGATTTCCATTGAAAGCGTAAGTACTGATTTGTATCATCAAATGTAAGTGACACCGTGAGTACTAACATTTGTATCTAAAAATAAATCAGGCCTTTCAATTTTATTTTTTGTCGTAAACAAAAAATAGACTCACATAGACTCTACTAAATATGTGTCTATGATGGACTAAAAACTTTAAAACAGGAACATGGACCTGCTTCTGGGGACTGTAGGCAAAATGATTCTCCCAATGTTTAGACCAAACACTGTTGTTGGAAACGCAGATGACCTATTTTCAAGTAACATTTTAACAACAATGAGGCGTGTCAAAAGCAGGTGTCTTCACCAACCTTTACCCACATCTTTCTCTACCCTTTAATGGATTTCTTTTTCAAAACAGGCAGGGTAAGGTGAAGGTTAAAGCTAAGATTAATGAGTTTCGTGCCCGTAGACTGAGTGAAATCATGTTAGACAACAATAGTTAGTAACCACATGAGGACACAACAAGCAGGGTGTTGTTGTCAGGCCGTGTTTGTGTAGCTGAGAAGAACAGCGCTGATCCCTCATTAGCGGAAAGCGATACCGTTCCACGGGTTGCCGTACCAGCGCCAGCACCTTTGTTCTCCGTGCGTATCGGGTTACCTGTCCTTGTGGTCACTGGTTGGACAACAGAGGCGGGTATGTGGGGCAAAATGGATCACAACACCTCTGGACATGGACACCACTTTCTGACCCCACTACCCAGTTAGATACAGCCCAGCGTCTACAGGGTGCAGTATATCTCCAAGCAGATATGGGAGAGAGACCGCCATGCATTCTAGCTATCAGAAAACCGTGCAACAACAACACTGTCTCTTCTCTCTCAACATCCGTGTACAGATGAGGTTTCGGGCGGGACTCGGAACTAAATAGTTAAAGATAATATAGTGGTAGTAAGATTTTGCACTTGTCAATAATAATGATTTTCTATCTGTCTAGTATGTAGAATCCTGATTAGGCTTTATAACATTTAGAGAACACTTCTCTGGCAAGTTTCACGTGTTTGTACGGGCAAACACAACGTCACCACAACTCAAGTGCTCCTGACAGATTGCGATGTTATTTCAACAACAACAACAAAAATACGTGTAATTGATATTCATACCCCTTTACCGAGACGAACGTAATTCATCGGTATGAGTGGAAGCGGCCGTCTGCAGTCCGCTGACGTCACTCCGTTTGCTAACGAGGGCTGGCGCGGTGCAAGGCGCATGTCACAAAGACATGTTAGTTCACGCACGCACTCCCGCAGAATCACAGCCACTCAGTAGGGGACTCTCACGTTACATGTGCACAGGTCTCACAAAACGAGCTCTGCGTCATCAGCACGGGTTGTCTTCTGAAAGGCCTTCTCTTCTCAGAAACCAGCTTTGTTGTGCCCAATAGCAGACGAACATCGTTATCTGTTGTAAATAATGGGCTAAAATTTCCCAAGAATTTAGTTCCCTTTATCCGTACAGATACGGAAATATGGAAATATAAACAGTTGTATGAAATATAAAAGCAGTACATCAATGCCTGTTGTACAATTCGTGCAAATACAAATTGATGCCATTAGGAATGGAGTGCAACAATACCATCTGTAGTCATTGTATAGAGCTGGACCAACATGTTCACCTTGTTGTCTTAGGTAATGGGTGGCGCCCTTTTATTTCCACGGCAACGGTCTTAATGGGAAGGTCTGTCGCGACAACAAACGATCTCTGGTGAGTTGACTGTAATAACGAGAGTTGTTGATATTTCGCAGCCGCTGTGAAAAATCATAAATCACAGTAATAACAGAAGGCATAGAAGCAGAAAAAAAGCTAAAGTATATTATTTAGTACTTTCTTAGCGACTGTGCATTTGCGACGCCCCTGTCACACATTCAGAACCTTCCCACTACTTTGCTCCCGACCACTCCCAAACCAAGGTTAGCGCTGGCTGAGAGTGGCCTGGAATCTTAGTCTAGCTCTAGTTTTCTCCTTTGATCGTATCCAAGCAGAATATGACCTTCTCGATTTCCAACATTAATAGTCTCCATGCGTATCAAGTTGCATAAAACATTACCCCTTCTTCGTAAAGACTGTTTAGTTGTGCGTACAAACCATGCAACGACCTTCGACGGATGTGCATTGACGTGAATAAGAGCTTGCAATAATTCCATCCTTTCATGGCTCGTATTACAAATGCGTTTTAACAAGCTGCTTAATATAACCCATTGTGAACATACGAGTGGAGGACTATAAATACGACACTGTCAGAATTGGTGGCTGTTTTAATAGCGTTGATTGTAGAAAATGCTTCAGCCATTGCAGTTTTATAAAGCTTTGTGGTCGCTGTGCAAACTATAAGAAGTCAGTTTGGTCAAGTCGGTTTTGTATACAATAACTTCACAAACAGATGATCTCTACAGACGTTACTCAAGTACCCAAATAATTCAATGATTAATAATGTGGATGCTGTGAATGTCCCTTGTGTACGGTTGGTGTTAGTCTACACAGAAAATGTGAATATATCACACAAATACTGTAACCAACTGGTTGACTTTTCTGTCAATATTATCTGTTGCTCGGTGACACATCATGTCATGATATCGTCAGTCTTGTATGATATGTAAAGAAGGCGTGTATCTTTGCGATACTAGTATATTTACATGTTAAGATTTGAACATATACACTTGCGCACTCTTGTTTCATGGTATAATTAGTTGTCTTGGCGAGTACTTTAAAGATATAATAACTATTTCGAAAAGTAATGGTATACTTAGATTTGCAACAATGTATGTTGCTTTTCTGTGTTAGTAAGACTCTATCGTACATGTATGTTGACGTTAATAAACGACTGTAAGACAGTGTAATCTGACGTGTGGTCGATCATGCCTCAAACGAGTCACAAAACAGGAGCATGGCTGGAAAATTAGTACATAAGTATGCTTAAAGGTAGCGGAAATGTGACGTTTATTTCCTCTTTCTGTAACTTCACGACACATATATGTGTACGTAAAGATCACTTTCATTGGAACAAAATTACGATATCGATCTGCTTAATTTATGAACTATGTAGGATTCGAAAGGAGAGGAACTTTCTTGTTCACTTGTTGTTGACGACATGAGATGAGGCAGTTCCCGTCCCCCACTGGTATAATCAGATATAAGATGTCTATAAAGGGTACAGAGCGTGCCGACTGCTTAAAACTCCACGGGGAAGTCATGAGATCTATTTTGATCATATCTTGTCAGTGCTTGTGGAAAGGTTACTCTAGAACACTGCTCCCCAAACAGCAACCCCATCGTGTTTTTGATCACGCTACAGGCTGAGAACACCTCTCCTTTTTAGGCCTGCTGAGCTCTCAGCCTCGCTAATTACACAGGTTACAGGTGACAAACGCACTGTAAACAACATCCCGAACATCACGTTCCAGGCGTGTTTTGCGCCCCGTGGCTCTGACAAGGCATTGTGTACAAAGCCCGATTCATGCTTCTTGTTCAGTCCCCATGTCTATATACTCAACAGTTGTACCGCAGCACTTCAACACAAAAGGACGACCTTTCAGAAGTAAGGCGATCTGGGATGAGGTCAGGCACGACAGGACAGGTAGGTGCATCAGTGCGCAAATCCCCTGACACATACTTACTTTCCTGAAGACAACCTGCCGTGAAGACTTCAAGAAACCTTGGATATCAGCAAGGAAAGAAATCAGGGATTCAGTACAAAACACTTTATAGTTTTGTGTGGGTAAAGTGATGCGCATAAAAGCCGCTCTACCATGGACATAATATGATCTTTACAAGACATCGTACGATTTCTTGCGGTCGCACTGAATGCCTATTAGGTCCAAATCTGACTCAAGGTTTGAAATAAACATTGCATGACGATATCTTGGGCTACCTAAGGAGCCATGATGGATAAAGCGGACTGGAGGGAGAGGGCGTCCGGGACCTGATGATGATGACGATATCTTGCACCGCACCGCTGATTTTGCAGGGCTCACCAAAGTGGAATTGAGTGCAGAATTAAGAACAAATGTTTACAAGGAAATTTGTACACTAGTCCATGATAACAACAACTAAGGGGACAGAGGGTCTCTATTCGAACGGTAGATCTATTCGAATATTCTACTCGGCTAATATTTGTCTTCGATCTACTATACGTAGTAACAGCGTGGTAAAAGTGGCAAAGTTGCTGCGCTGCAAATCAGACTGGTGTATAACGGCAATAGTACATACATGCAGTCCGGTCACAATAATGTCAGTGTAATACACGGGGATTCCTTGTATCATGACTACCACAGAGTATACCTGTGCTCATGGGTAATTATATAAATTGTAACAATATATTTTCCAAAATTTATATCATTACATTCTTACGTTAGACAGTTTCTTGTTTAATTATGACATCAAATACCGCAGGGTATTGTACTAAAAATTCTTGACGATTCTCTGTTCTGTAAAGTCTTTGGTTTCTCATTTGAAGGCATTGCCTTAGTTAATAGCGACCTCTATCACAATGAGTGTGAACTGCATAATCGAGTAACAAAACTTATCAAAGGTTGGCCTCACAATACATAAAGATGTATGTCATGATAATTCTTCTGTTACTTTGTTATACATAATACGGTAGAACAGTGGACTATGTGTATAGGGGACATCCGCAATCAGAAGAAATTTGTCCAGGAGCGATGTGCACAACGTCCCCTACTTCTCAGTGGTCGAGTCCAAATGCGGAAGTGCCGACGTTATTGTTCCCAGGTGTGCTGTAGCCAGTCTTGCGGAACAGGTAAGGAATCAGTTTCAATCACCACTTTCTGTAGAATAGATACGGGACCTACATAGATAGACAGGGTTGGGGCGCTGGCGGCACGGCAGTGTCATCACGGGTGCCATCATATACAGGTATTTCGCCGTGAATAGTCGTGTTGAGTTAATTGTCAAATCTGAGGGTCAAACCGTAAATGTATTTGAGTTTGACTCCAAAACGTCAATGACTGCGCCGACATTTTTACAATTCTGGCCCATATATATATATATATAAAGCTGTATACTTAAATGTCACTAAAGGCTTTCATGACAGGTAAAGTGGCTACCGTGTCTCCACAATTTAAAACCTACGTCGTACTTTCGTGTGTGTGTGTGTGGGGGGGGGGTACCGAAGTGGAAAAAAAGTCAGTGTAGTGTCAGACTGGTCAGACCAGTGGCTTGTAACATTCAATCCCGGCAAAACAGAACTGATGACTTTTTCCACTAAAAGAAGAAAGGTTCTTCACCCACCACTATACTTTAGAGGTGTTCAGCTGACTGAAACCCCCTCTCACCAGCACCTTGGCTTACATCTCACTCCAAATTTATCATGGTCACTCCACGTGTCAACTCTGGTGACGAAAGCAATGAAGCGAGTTAACTTGTTGACAAGAATATCAAATTTTGTGCCACGGAAAACGCTTGAAATCCTGTACAAAGCCATGATACGTCCTTTACTTGAGTACGCCAATGTTGCCTGGTGTGGTGTTCTTATGAAGGATTCAGACCTCCTTGAGTCAGTCCAGGTGTCCGCTGCCCGGGCTTGCACAGGCGCAATGAGAGGGACGAATCACCACCGCATTCTATGTGACGTCGGTTGGGGAACACTTGCCAACAGACGCGAAAAGTTCAAACTTGTTCACTTTTATAAAATGGCCAATGGCTTAGTTCCCAAATATCTAATTAGAAAAGGTCAGTCAATGGTTCAAGGCGAATAAGTTATCCCTTAATATAAAAAAGACAAGTTTTATTATTTTTTCTGGACCAAAAAAGAAGTATGATAAAGAAAAAGCCCACATATATATAAATAATAAACGTATCAACCAAGTAAACCACACTCGCTTTTTAGGAATACTTATAGATGAAAAACTTAATTGGAAGATACATATAGATTTGATTTGCAATAAGATTCATAAGAACATAGGCATCATTAGAAAATAAAGACCCTCCTCCCACGAAGAATATTTATAACATTATACTACAGTCTAATATATCCGTATCTATCATACTGCAATTTCATTTGGGCAGCACTTACACAACTTCAATTAAACCACTCTATCAACTGCAAAAACACTTTGTTAGAATTGCAGCTAACACACACTTCACAGCACACTCAGCACCTCTGTTTCGTGAACTAAAAATCATAAATGTATATGACTTAAACAAATTACAAATAGCCATTTTTGTTCATAAAATCGTTCATAATACCAATAGTTTACCAGATCAATTCAACACTTTTTTTACATTCAACTCAGACATTCACCAGCACAATACGAGACAACATAACCATTTAAGGCCGATCAAGACTAAATCTACACAAAAACAATTCTCAATAGCGTATAGAGGCCCCATTGTCTGGAATAAGTTAAGCCAACTGTTACAAAACTGCCAGTCAACTCCTGTATTTAAAAAACTTCTTAAAAACTTTTTCCTACAAAATCCCAGTACATCCACAATCTGATTTGTTTGTTTTCCTTGTTATTGTTAATAGTTTGTTTTAATCGTTAATTCTTATGTTAATTATTTAATCAGTTTAATCTGTAACATCTACCTGAATTACAGGTATAAGACTTTTGTTTGATTTCGTTTTAGTTAGTTTATACACCTCAGTTATTATTTCTGTGCCTTGATTTTGTTTAATTACTCATTGTTTAATTATTTCATTGTTTAATTTTGATGTTTAATTTAAATATGTTTTGTCATAAGTTATCTTTGCTTGGGGTAGGCCTCTAGAAAAACCACCCAGGTTTCTGGCCTCCCCCGCACATTCTTTGATTATTATTATTTGATTGTGTAATTGTTTTTAATATACGTGCAAATGGTAAATAAACAGTAATAAACAATCTACAAGACTTAGTTCCCCCACTTATCCGTGATTCCACCCCTTGTGGCCTGCGTACTGACCAGAATTATCTCCCTTTTACCCTCAAAACTGAAAAGTACAAAAAATCTTTCTTGCCTTCTGCTGTTTTCTCTTGGAACAAGTTACGCCAGACCGCCAAAGAATCCCCATCCATTCGTGCATTCAAAAATGTATTAGAGTCTTGCTTTGATAGCATGCCCAGACATCCTCACTACTCGCACGGCCACGGACACCATGTGACTCACCTTACCAGACTCAGGCTTGGTTTCAGCCAGCTGAACTACCACCTATTCCAGCATCACTGTATCAGTAGTCCCGAGTGCAAATGTGGGCATCCAAATGAGACACCAGAACACTATTTATTACACTGCAAATGTTATAATACTGAAAGGACCAAAATGTTGTTATCCATATCTTGCCTTCATCTTGAAAACATACTTCCTTCCGACCCACTCAACGTAAACGACGCCACATTATGTACTTTACTTCTTACAGGTAGCCCCTCCCTCCCTCCCCTCCCCTCCCCTCCCCTCCCTCCCTCCCATACCCTACCAACTGCCGTATCTTTGATATAGTTTAACTATATCCACCACTCTGGAAGATTTGACCAATCTCAATAATATTATGCTAGGTATTGGTGCGCCAGCCACTTTCATTTGTATTATGTTTTACGAGCAGCGGATTTACATAAGCACAACAAGTGCTTCCTATCCAATGCTCAAAAATCCATGTGAATAAAATAAAAAGTCAATGTTGATTTACGGTGTTACAAACATGTTCCCACGAGGGCAGTGAAAAGAGATGTCTGCAAAAAAGGACAAAAAAGTCAAGTCACTCAGGTACAGGCCACATACGTCGCCCGATCGTCGCCAAACGGGCGCATTCTGTGGATAGCCGCGCATGTACTAGTATATATCCTGCAAACGTTAGCTGTCTTGTTACAGAAAGTCTACCTTAAGTCCTTGTCGGCCGTTTTTTCATGGCCTGCTTGAAAATTCTACTGCAATAAAATCGTACGACAACCTACGACGGACGTGACGGGGCCGATATAGATTTGTTACGATGTTTCCCTAGCAACGATCGTGTCCAAACATGGAAGTGCCGAAGGTCACTGTGTTCAGGTGTACTCATAACGACATTAGCGACTATATCGGTCATGTAGTCGTCCGGAATCATGCCATACAGAATTTTTATAGCTTGCGTCAATAGCTACATACTACATTTAGGATCTACGACACAAAGTGGTTAAAGCTTCGTAAAATGGTTGTATCGTGAACTTTAGTACTGTACATGCACATGTATAGTACAGGTACGCACACACACGCAAGTGCGCGTATGCACACACGACCACACACATACTTGAGCACAACTTGCATGAAATATTCCGTACGGAAGGGGAAAACCGTACCTTGATCACATCATCGATTGGCCCAGGCGCGGTCGGAAATCATTCTCTTTACGCCTTCCAGCTCATGTTGGATGCTTGGCGGTCCCTCTCATATTGTCTGCCTCTTAATTCATTTGTTGTAGCATAAATGCACCATCATAACCTATAAAGGATGAAGAACATATTTGCAAATGCTTTATCAGACAATAAAACAAAATACATGAATATCTCCTAAAGGATTTCATGCCCATCCAAGTGCAAACTTTGAACATAAAATTGACTACAAGCACCAGTAAAGAATGTTACATCGTTACATGGGGAAGTAAAGCATGACATTCGCATTGTAATAAATCATCCAATAAATCAGAGCTCCCACCAGTCAACCAATAAATCCACAGAATACATGAAGTACAAAGAAAGACTTATTTTGGTGTAGCCAAATAACACAGCACCGTGACAATACCACAAAATTAGACAAGTGACACGAAGACTAAGCATAATCCAAAGATCCATTTATATATTTGGCAGTATTTCATTCATCGAAAATAACGTGTGGCGTCGGGTGGTGTAGTGGTTAGAGCAATCGACTATGAACCGGGGAGACCCGGGTTCGATTCCGAGTCGTACCCGGCACATGTCTGAACATGCGCCCCGACGTTGTGCCCTTGGGAAAGGCACTTTACACGACTTTCCTATCCTTACTCCACCCAGGTGTGAATGGGTACCTAACTTCGGTTGGGGAAAGTCGTATTGAGGTCACCTTGTGGCGCCGAATGGCAGCCGCACAGACCCTTGCGACAGTTCCACAAAAAATACTTGTGGAACAAATATGTGTTATCATGTGTATTATTTGATTGTTGTAATTGTTGTGATTTGTATTGATTATTATGTGATACCCTGCATCAATTCAGCCGTATAAAGGCTGTGACTGCACGGGTACTTTTTGGACAATAAAAAACATTTATTAAAAAACATAATAAAAACACAGCAATACGGTAACGAAAAGCAAAGTCTACACATCATACAATAATACAGTCATAAGTACTCAACAGCCTTATCGAGTTCGCCTCTTTGAAACCAAAACAGGTACTCTAACATACTTGCCTTAGTTGAGTGCCAGTTCTCCTCTGTCTCTCGAACCATCTTGATAGTCCAGCCAATCATAGTTTTCCCCATGGTGTCAGGTTGTAGACCTGTGTCTCTTTTTAGCATTTCTACAAGTAAGATAAGTACCTCATACAGCAGGCTGTTCACATCCGCCATGTTGGATTACAGTGTATGTCTGTTAACATGCCAACTTACCCGCCAACACCTGGTCGCCGAGATTCATATGATAATTATTATAACTTCAATGAAAAGCCTCTATGAACCCATTTAGGGCTGTACATCAACATGGCTGACAACGACTTCCGGTGGGGTCAGAGGACGTACACTTTGCGGGAGTTCTTGGACAGTTTCACCTTACCCAGGATGGTCAAGGTCACAGCAGGGCATTATGGGAACACCGAAGTGGAGTCACTAGCAGCTGGCCAGGTGTGTTGTAGAACCGTTACGGACAACAATGACGAACCTCGTAGACTTTCCTTGTACCAGTAATGATCTATCAAAATGTATTTATCTGACAAACGTTTACTAAATCTGAATACCAGTGATTAACCGTTCTACTCCAATGAATCATTAAATTAAGTTATAAATTCAAAGAACAAGTTCCAATACGTCGTACAAAATTCAGCGGTTTTGTTACTGAGAGGGATGTGTTATAATCGCGCAGAGAAAAACTAGAACTGTCAAGTTTCATACATGTTTATCATTGCCGTACGTGAGACGGACCGGACAGATCTGTGGGGTGTTGTGCATGTTTGGTAATGTTTGTGTTAACAGATGAGTTTCCTCAGTAATTGCTTTTCTTATTTGTCGCACGTATGCGATCCACATTTTCTGCTGCCAACGGTCTTGCGGATTAATCATCCTTGTATCTTTTTTATCCCTATGATCCCTTCTGATGTGTCCACGGGAGATTTATTTGTGCCTGTATTTCTGACACCTGTAGATCGTCCGGATCCACAGACAGGTCAGGCAGCTGAGGGTGATCGCAGAGGACAGACACGGTCGCCGCCTCAGCATCCCTGCCGACCGGAAGGGAACGGCTTTGTTTGACGTCATATCTGGCAGCGGAAATGAGGGTGAGAGACATAGTGAACTTGTTGTTAGTAAGTTAACGTTGCTAATTGGTCCATTACATGTTGATTGGAGGGCTCAAGTAATGCAAAGTAATGATGGGTCTGAAATATTTCCTATCTACGCTATCTAAGAAATAGCCTGAAAATGACATCCTGAATCCTAATGGTGATCTAGTTAAGTTGACTAGTTATTTTGTCAGCTCCGTCTCCTTTCTTTGCATCTTTCATTCTCAGATATCAATGAAATGAAAACGCGTGGTTCATCTCCCTTTTTCGTTCCTCAGAATTTCGACAAGACATCGTGCACATCCTGCAGACGTACCGGCTGCCGCTGCGGGCGCAGTTCTCTCGGGAGATCGGCTTGAGGAGTACGGACCGGCACGGCGTGCAGAAGTTCGGGGAGCTGAATCTGCTGGAGACGTACGAGGAGACATACCTGCAGGGGAACTCTTACACAGGCAGTAAGACTTCCTCCTAAAGCCTCGGTCACAACTCGCCGTACGTGCTTCTGCGTGCTGTCTACGTGCAAAAACGTGGGCAAACGTACGGCATCCGTGCGTGGTGAGTACCGCCTCCGTACGGAGTCCTACGGATTTGGGAGCACGCAGACACGCCGTAGAACCTTAAGTGCATGTAATACTTTTTCTACGTGCGGTCTGCGGATTTACCACCCGTGCGTGCGAGTACGTGCGACGCGCGTGCCCCGTACAGCCTATGAGCGTGCAACGTACGGACTCCGTGAGTCTAACTTCACTATTCTCACGTGCAATTGCTGTACGGACAGCGCACGAAGCACGTGAGTGCCACGCACGGTGCTTGCGTCATCCGTGCTTACTCCTCACTTCCCAGTTGACCTGCTCAATGACCACGCAGAACACACGTGCACCATACTAGGTGCTCCGCACGTGCAACGCACGTGCAACGCACCTTATTTCTACAATATATAAAGACGACTTGACGGGCGACTGCCAACTCGTCTCCAAGATGCCCAGGAAGGCTCAAAAGAAGTCTACCAGACAAGATCCAAAGAAACGGGCCGCGGAAGACACCAGGGCGGCTAGTGATGATGAAGTTATCAGGAGGTGCACGCACTTACAACGTGCGAGTGAGTAAGGAAATCGTGCGCACACCGCACGTGTAGGTACGGCCTGTACGCGGCAACGTGGCAATCGCACAGAGATCGTACGTTGTAAGCACGTACAACTCACTTACCACTTGCGCAACGTACGATGCACGCAACCGCTGACGGCCAGGCGTGTCGTGCAGACCACGTACGTACACCTTGCGAGTGACGTACTCCCTCGGCCGGCCACCCTACGTTTGCAGAAAAAACGTAGCAGACGTAGCCACGACAAAAACGTACGGACAAAAAGCACGCACGGCGAGTTGTGACCGTCGCTTAACGCTCCAGTCGCAAAAGTACTGAAGTAACGAGTCCCTTTCTAAGCACTCGGTGAAGGTGCCTTTTGCACTGGAAAGCTGCGAATCGTCACTGGAAGCCGAGCTTAGAGTACATTCTCCCAAAAGACCTTTGGGAATTTCCCCTGTACAATGAGCTTATGTATACTGTACATAGCGCCTGTCTTGTCTGTAATGACCAGTTGAAGATTAGGTTTTCAGTGAGTTAAACTGATTAGAGCTCACCTTCTTCTTCCTTCCACAGACACGTTGGTTGAAACCGTCCTGCTGATCCCCATGTACCTGACCCTGCGGGTCGCGGTGGCTGACGGGCTGCAGCGGGGCGGGGACAGTGACTGGTCCAGTCTGTGCCAGGCTCTCTCCGACATCACCGCAAACACCGTCAGCTTCGATGACGTCGTCGGGAATGAAGGTACGCAAAGTGTCACATTCGTCGCGCGATCGTCGTTTGATCGCAAGCTCAGGGAATTGATGTGTCCTAGTGCTGTGAAATTCAGCTGCCGTTTTCCCAAGGAAAATGCTGTCTTACATGTAGATCTTTGTCGGCGGTTAGGTCTGTCACAGCCTGCTTAAAACATTCTACTGCATCAAAATCGTACAACGACCTATAACGAATGTGACCACGCCTTAAAGAGCCCTTTAAACTGTTTATATCAACTGTGAAGCAATTATGTTGTCTTTTATTGGTGCATGTATCAAAATGTGTACATATACTTCGTGTCTAAGTCTTTATACATGTACTTGTACAATTGTATTTAATATACAGACGTCTCTCTGTACACGAAGACGTCAGTGGAAGAACATAACAACATTTACGATGAGATAGAGCCAGCCCGCATACTTAAAGTCTACGCCATGAGGGATCCCATGTCTTCTGACGTACTTGATATGGGGAAGACGTACGCACCGCTTCCTCCTGCTCCTGATGAGAAGGAGAGGAAGAAGGGTCCCCCTCCTGTACCAGTCAAACCAAAGAGCTTAAGAAGGCCGCCGGCTGGATTCCCACTGCCCGGGCTGACATCACAAGCAATGAAAGGTAAAAAACAACAAATCAGCCAACGTGACGATGAATGAATGAATGCAATACCATAGCATTAAAGTTGTGCTCTTACAGGATATATAAGTACAGGTCATGGTGACAAAGCAGGTCAAGGTAAAATTACAGAGATATAAAGTACCTACATCTAAAATGGCTAATGTGTAACTAGGATGTATAGATATAACTTCTTCTCACTTCGTAATACCTCATCATATTATGGAAATGTCTGTGCACCTACCTGTGTTTTAAATGCCCGGTATCTACCATTACCTATTGACAGGCGACAACACACAACAGGGCAGATCACAGGTACAGCACCAGTCTGCCGTAGATAAGCCATCGGCGGACTCCTACCAGACCCTGACGTTTGGCCCTGGTGAGACGTGTTACCAGGGCCTGTATATGGAGGCAGGGGAGGAGGCGGCCAGCACACACAGAACAGGGAACATGCCCAGAGCCATGACAGCACCTGTGACGCCACGGGGTGATAAAGGTGCGTGATGTGGCCAAGACATAGTGCACATCAATATCCTGCAGACGTACGCGCTGCCGCGATTCCTCGTAAGGGCTTTTCACATACTTGTAGCTTGCCTGGAATACTTGGAAACAAACATTACAGGTGCACGTGTTATAAGCATTATTCATTGTAAAGGTTTGGGACAGATGCTCCTGGAAAGTTTCCAAGCTAATTCAAGACGTGCTTATTGAAATCTTGCAGTCTGACTGGCATTGAATTGAATTGGATGCAACTGACATCTTCATAGAAACATATAAACGTACAAAATCGCTCTTGGTGCAATTATGTCTTGCCCACCACTTCCTGCTACAGATCGCAAAGAAGTTCCGTACGCGTCCAGAAAGTCGCTGCCCCCTACGCCCGCAGGAGGGGTGCCCACGGCCGTGGTCTTCGCCTCCCCCGCCGTCACAAAGAAGGATGAAACCACCGGTACCAAGGTGCACATTGCTAAAACAGAGCCAGCACAAGGAGCTGCTGATCCCAGCAGTACCGCTAGAGGGCGCTCCAGTCCCACTAGAGAACAACTGGGCGTCTTCATCGAAACGTTCAGCGACATCCCGAAGGACGTGAGGACCCTTAACATCGCACAGATGGCGGACTGCCTCCGTCTCTTAAAGCTTGATAAGTATGTAAACTACGTATTGCGTTATGTACCATGCATGCAGTCTGCAATAGAAACCCTCTATTGAAAGACATATGAGCTTAAGTAAAGCCCTTATACAGTTTAAAAGTTTTTAGAAAGTTATTAAATGTTTCTTGTTTATTGTCTAGTCATCTTTCTTTCGGTAAGAATTCTGATAGGTAAGAATGAATGAAAAATCTGTTATGAAATGCTTCTTGTTTTTGTCTGGTCTTCGTTCTTTCGAACAATTTAATCAAAACGGCTGATAGGTCAGAATCAGTGAAAAAGATCTGATCTGGGTATCTCAGTGGTATTTTTTTAAACTGAGTCAGATCCCACCGTCCATGTCCCCCTGCAGGTACATCGCGACGTTTGAGGAGAACATGGTTGACGGGGACCTGCTGATGGACCTGGACAGGGACATGATGCGGGCTGACCTCCACATGTCACCTCTCGACTGTGTCAAACTTATCAAGTTCAGGGACGAAGGTTGGCGCCCAAAGGACCAATGAACAGGCATTAGTGATACGCATTTCTGCATGAATGAAAGACCTTTATTGTGCATTTATGGCTTGATGGGCTGAGTACAGGACTTCTATCGCATGAAGCCAGTATTAGAAGGGGAGATACTTTTTCACATTGGGCTAAGGGTAGGGGTCGAAAACGAGGCGGAGGTCACTGGAGGTCACCGGAAGTGCCGTAGTACGCGTGACGATGTACAGCCACGCTGCTATTGGACAGAACACTGGACTGCTACTCATATGCTGCAGCAATACCTCAGTTTCGGTAGTGTGGGGAGGGCTACCTGCGTCTTTCCCTCGATTTACGTGCAAAAACGTCAACTTTTACGTCTATATTCACTGCATTTGTGTGGCTCTTACCTCTGGGGACAAGGAAAAGCACAGTTCAGATCATATTTGAAGGGATTTAAGCTCTGGGGACCAGGTAACACTCCATATAACGTTACATGTAGGTAATGGAGACCAAATTGGTTATCAACGTTATATTTTGTGTGGCTCTTACATCTGGGCTCTTTTTTTAGCTCTGGGACTAGGAAAGGCAGCTAATACAGGAAACATTTGCACCGTACAAGTAATAATTGCAGGGCTGTCAGGTCTGGGGACCAGGTGAGACACCTTTACAGGTGACTGACGTGTATTTCCTTTGACTTGGGTTGACTATGGACCAGGTGAGGTACCTTACAGGTGAGTTACGTGTATTTCCTTTGACTTGGGTTGACAATTGACCAGGTGAGGCACCTTACAGGTGACTGACGTGTATTCCTTTGACTTGGGTTGACAATAGACCAGGTGAGGTACCTTACAGGTGAGTTACGTGTATTTCCTTTGACTTGGGTTGACAATAGACCAGGTGAGGCACCTTACAGGTGAGTTACGTGTATTTCCTTTGACTTGGGTAGACTATGGACCAGGTGAGGTACCTTACAGGTGAGTAGAGTAATTTTTCTAGACTTGGGGACCAGGTGAGGTTCCGTACAGGTGAATAGAGTTTATTTTCTAAACTAGGGACCAGGTGAGGTGTCGTACAGGTGAGTACAGTTTATTTTCTAGACTGTAGACCAGGTGAGGTGCCGTACAGGTGAGTAGAGTAATTTTTCTAGACTTGGGGATCAGGTGAGGTGCCGTACAGGTGAGTACAGTTTATTTTCTAGACTTGGGGATCAGGTGAGGTGCCGTATATGTGAGTAGAGTCATTTTTCTAGACTTGGGGACCAGGTGAGGTGCAGTACAGGTGAGTACAGTTTATTTTCTAGACTTGGGGACCAGGTGAGGTGCCGTAGTATGTGAGTAGAGTCATTTTTTCTAGACTTTGGGACCAGGTTAGGTGCCGTACAGGTGAGTACAGTTTATTTTCTAGACTTGGGGACCAGGTGAGGTACCGTACAGGTGAGTACACTTTATTTTCTAGACTTGGGGACCAGGTGAGGTTCCTTGCAGGTGAGTACAGTTTATTTTCTAGACTGTAGACCAGGTGAGGTGCTGTACAGGTGAGTTGAGTCATTTTTCTAGACTTGGGGACCAGGTGAGGTTCCGTACAGGTGAGTATACTTTATTTTCTAAACTAGGGGACCAGGTGAGGTGCGGTACATGTGTGTAGAGTTTATTTTCTCTGACTGTAGACCAGGTGAGGTGCCGTACATGTGTGTAGAGTTTATTTTCTCTGACTGTAGACCAGGTGAGGTGCCGTACATGTGAGTAGAGTTTATTTTCTAGACTAGGGACCAGGTGAGGTTCTGTACAGGTAAAAAATTGCGCTGCTCTTGGGTTTAAGGACCAGGTAAGGTACCGTACAGGTAATAATTGCACGGCTCTTAGGTCTGGGGACCAGGTAAGGCACTGTACAGGTAATATTTGCAGAGCTCTTAGCTCTGGGGACCAGGTAAGGTACCATACATTTGCATGCGTGCATGTGGCCCCTTTTTATCTGGGGACCAGGTAAGGCACTACTGTATAGGTATATTTGCATTGTCCTTTATCTTCAACTAAGAGACTATACAGGTTATGGTTCATAGCTCTTGAGACCAGTGGTAAGACCATACACTTCAGATACGTTTGGTCTTTTGTACCTAATTTTTTGGTTATTGACATCTCTGTATATATATATACTGCTGGCCTAGATTATTTCTCTTTTTTTCAGTGCATTTGCCAAAAAGGAGAAACTGATCACACAGCAGGAGCTGGAGATGTCTATGCATCACATTCTGGAATTCTTGGAAGTGCCAGCTTTACTTCTCAACAAGAACATGAATGCTGAACCCTGACTTATGTTATATTAATTCTGAAAGGTTGTTTCTCCAAATGGTAGAATAACTAGAACTTAGTAGAAGTAAATTGTATGATGAACTGCACAAAAATTCTGCATTTGTTTGTTTGCTTGTTTGTTTTCTATTTGTCTGAGTCGCATGTACATGTATAACAATATTTATAAAACTGTTTAAGGCCATACCAATTTAATTTCTTGGTTAACGGCTTCGCCCGCTTCATTTTTTTCTGATTTGCAAATAAAAAAAAAAT